CTAAAAGCCAGTCTCAGTGGCCAAGTGACTTACCTTTTTTTGTTTTGTTTTTCAAGATAGGGTTTCTCTGTGTAGTCCTGGCTGTCCTGGACTCACTTTGTAGACCAGGCTGGCCTTGAACTCACAGACATTCGCCTGCCTCTGCCTCCCCGAGTGCTGGGATTAGAGGCTTAATCAGGACGCCAGGCTGAGCTAATGTTTTATGAGGGCAGAGATTAGGTTTCCGGTGCCCAGCAGAGTGCACAGGACAAAGGGAGACTGCCTAAGTGAAATGCAAACATGCAAACAATGGGAGAGACGTGGCAACAGGTTCACAGGGCAAGCTGTCAGCAGCTGCTTCCCTGATAGCGTCGGCTGTTTCCTTATCCAAGGCAGTCTGGATTCAGCAATTTTGAGAAGTTCGGTTGTGAATGGAGTCCTTTTGTTTTGAATTGTAGTGGGAAGCTGCCTCCATGAACAGGGTTCTCCAAATCTAACACTGCTTTTATTTTTTAAAGGACATTTATTTATTTGTGTTTCTGTATGCACGGGACACAACATGGGTGTGTGGGTCAGAGGAGAACCTGAAGGAGTTGGTTCTCTCCTTCTACCATGTGGGTTCTGGGGTGGAGCTCAGGTTGTCAGGCTTGCTAGCAAGACCCTTCATCTGCTAAGCCGTCTTGCTGGTCCTAATACTGCTTAAAAGAAAGTAAAATAAGAAAGCGTGGGATAGTGCCGGGAACAAGGACCTAACAGGTGTGCCTGTGTTAATTCTCATGCTCGTCTCTGTTTCTGTCTCCTCTCTGTCTGATGAAGCCTAACATGGCCTTGAATTCACGATCTCCTGCCTCCACCTCTTCAGCATTTCCTACCAATGTGTGCTACCAAGTCGCTTCTTTAATTCTCCCTCTCCCCACACAGAGTTTCGTGTAGCTCAAGCTGGCCTTGAACTTTCTGTGTAGCTAAGGCTGACCCTGGATGTCTGAGTCTTTTACTCCTATCTCCTGAGTTTGGGATTACATGTATGTGCCATCACACCTTTGTTTTTGTGATGCTGGTGAGCAAACCCAGGGGTTTGCGCATGCTCGACAACCCTAAGTGAACTCTACTGCTGGCTCCCTAATTTCCTGAAACAAGACTATAGAGCCACGAAGGTCTAGTCCTTCAAAGATGGCATTAAGGACCACGGCTCTTCCCTTCCTTTGCTGTCATTCCCCTTGGTCCTTATGGTTACAAGATGGCTGCCGAGGGAGGCTGTGGGTATCACAGCCTGTCACCAAAGTGTCAGAAGCAGAAAGGGGGCGGGGTTGGCAAAGGGCAGAGCTCTTCTCTTGGGATGCTCTCCTTTTGGGAAGTCAGACTTGCCTGGAGGTCTCCCGCAGACCTGCTTTATGGTCTCATTGGCCAGGACATTTCACTACCCAACTTAGGCCAATCACTGCCCAGAGAATGGTAGGATTTGCCTATCAGATACTCCACCAAAGCTGCTCTATGTTCCACTGAACTAAATTAGTAAGGTGAAGTCGAGGGGCTGGAGAGATGGCTTAGTGGTTAAGCGTACTGACTGTCCTTCCAGAGGACCTGGGTTCAATTCCCAGTGCCCATAAGACAGCTCAAACCTGTCTGTAATGCTAGTTCCAGAATTTCTGACACCCTTACACAGATAGACATTCATGCGGGCAAAACACCAATGAACAGAAAATCAATAAAAAAAAAAAATACGGTTGAATCAGGGGCAGAGCTGTAGCACAGACCGTCTCACAGACAGGATTCTGAGTGCCCAGCCTTTGTGGAGGCTTTCTATTACCCTGCAGAGGCTAATTGTGCTATTTGACATCCCTGGTGAGACACTGGCAAGGAAAAACATTTTTAAGATGGTTTCCTCACTGGCCAAGAAAAATGGCGTGAGCAGCTGAGCCCAGCAGGGCCTGTAGTAAAGGCCCTGAAGCTCGGCCGCACACTGCTGAGAGGAAGCGGCAGACAGGAACCATCACTGTATTCGAAGCAAATCTCCTTTGGCTCTCTCTGTAAATTGTACTGGTTCTCCTGCCTGCCCGGGCCACTGCATCCAGAATTCCTAGTACACAGTTGCCGCAAAGCTACTGCTAGCAGGTAGCAACGGGGAATATCTTCATAATGGCTATGCATTTAGAACTGACAAAATACTGGGCCCTGAGCTAGGTCCTGGGACAGGATAGGGTCTGTCTTTAGGTGGTTGCCATTCTAGTTGAGGGAAAACATGGAACAAGTTAAGGGCCAGTTATCAATGCTGAGTTCCCAAGTTTCTGGAACTCTCCCTAGTGCCTACAGCTTTCTGTAGATGGGGTGTTAGCAGAACTTGTGTTATGTCTGCAGAGAAGGCAACGATGCTTCTGCAGAGTCGGAAGCCATTTTCTTTGGTGAGATAAGACTTTGCTTTATGGCCTCAGCTGAGCTCGGGCTCAGGAACACCTGCCTCGGCCTCCTGGTTGGAGGCTCTCATGCGTGCTCCCATCACAACCAGCTCTGAAACAGACTTGTGGGGCTGAGAGAAGTGATTCGTGCCACCCAAATGCAGGGGGTCCTTGGACCCTTGTTCAGGTGTCACCTTGTGAGTCGGGCTTCATACGCATGTCTCCCCTTAACGAAGCTGGTCTCTTAACATAAGAGCATGTGCATGCTTTGTTCACTGGTGTAGCTCAACAATCGGACAGCACCTTACAGGAGATCTAAAAATCACCCGGTGCTGAGGCTATTACAAAGGCTGGAAGACAACTGTACCTTTTGTCACTGACCATCACTAAACCGAAACAAGTGCCAAGTCAAGAATGACCCCCTTCCCCCACATTAAGATAGTCTCTCCACATAGTCCCAGCTGTTCTGGAACTCACTTTGTAGACCAGGCTGTCCTCACAGAGGTTCCCTGCCTCTGCCTCCTGAGTGTTGGGATTATAGGGAGGTGCCACCACACCTTGGTGAGAATGACAGCCTTACTGAGCTTGCTGCAGCAAAACTGACAGCTGCTCCCCTGACTCTAGTTTTAAGTAATGGCCATGGTGCTCTGGGGGTAAGCCTTTAAGGCTGGGAGAGCTAAAGGGTCAGGACACCAGCAGGGGTGGGCCCTTGGGCTCTGGTCAAGGAATACTGTGAAATGACCAATAATGGATGATGTTCTCTTGGACAGGTATAAAGGTTTGGTCACTGGGACCCGAGCAAGAGGGACTATTGCTGTCCTCTGGGTCCTCGCCTTTGGCATTGGATTGACTCCTTTCCTGGGTTGGAACAGTAAAAAGACTGCCACCAGCAACTGCACAGAACCTGGGGATGGAATCACGAATAAGAGCTGCTGTCCTGTGAAGTGTCTCTTTGAGAATGTGGTCCCCATGAGCTACATGGTATATTTCAACTTCTTCGGGTGTGTTCTTCCTCCGCTTCTCATAATGCTGGTGATCTACATCAAAATCTTCATGGTGGCCTGCAAGCAGCTTCAGCGCATGGAACTGATGGACCACTCTAGGACAACTCTCCAGAGAGAGATCCATGCGGCCAAGTCACTGGCTATGATTGTGGGCATTTTTGCTCTGTGTTGGCTACCAGTACATGCCATCAACTGTGTTTCTCTTTTCCATCCAGCTTCGGCCAAGGACAAGCCCAAGTGGGTAATGAATGTTGCCATCCTCCTGTCACATGCCAATTCAGTTGTCAATCCCATTGTATATGCCTACAGGAACCGAGACTTCCGCTATACCTTCCACAGAATCATCTCCAGATATGTGCTCTGCCAGACCAATACCAAGGGTGGGGGTGGGCAGGCTGGGGCACAGTCTACTCTCAGTCTAGGCTTATGACCTAGGCTCTGGCCTTTTGGAGAAGGCGGCTTAAAATAAACAATGGGACTAGACACAACGGGCTGCTCCTCACTGTGAAAGATGCCACGCCTCTCAAGCATGTGACCTGCCTCTTCTGAATACTTGCCTGGAGTTACATGAGTCTGGCTAATATGCACATGCAATTAGGAGGCTCCGAGGTTAACAAATATATTCATTTATGTATCTATTCTGCTGCTCTGACTGTGGATGATGGCTTGAACTGACTCCTAGACTGTTTTATTTTTGAGAATCTGCCACATTGATGATAGAAAATGAAACTTAGCTTACTGTGAAACGCTGTGAACTATTATAATGTAAGTATTTTTCACTTACAGCAATGGAAAAAATAAAAGTTGGCTATACTAACGAATACTTGTTCCCAGGACAGCAACCCAGAAAACTAAAGTATAATTCTTCAATCAAGATACTGTAGTATCAATTTTGGGAATGATATTCTATGTTTTAAAGTAGAATTATAATAAGAAGCAACTTAAGTTCAGTATTTTCCATGAACACAAAACACTAGAGGTAGAAACTGGAGCTATGGGGTCCCTTCTCTACTGGAATCCCGCTTTTAGAGCTAGGTACTGGGTTTTGCGTCTTTCCCACATTAAAGTTTGTTGAACCCACAGTGTGAGATTGTTTACTAAGCAGAAGTACCGACTTATGTGTTACAGTTAGTGAAATAAAACTGTTAAAAGGCCAGCTCCTGGCACTCGCTGGCCTGTTGCACTTGGTGTACCGCCGTCTGCACCTTACCCTGAAGGCGCTTGAAAGAGGCCACTCATTCTGAGTCCAAGTTGCCCAATGAGCAGAGAAACGGATTTTCCTTCGCTACAACTCAACATGATGCTCACCCGGCCACACAACACGGCAGCATGTATTTGGCTTTTTAGTCAGCAGCTGCTCGCTAACACTTGTGTCTGGGGGCACAGCGATGGGGGTGGGCTTCCCTAGGCTATGAAGTTACCTATTCTAGTTTTCTGCTTCCTCAGTTCCTAAAAGGATGAGTGCTTAGAGAGGCAGGGAATTGCTGACACTCCTGGATCTTCTGGCTGTCATGGCTTTACCTCCTTAGTCCTTTTCCTGGACCAAATCTGTTTCCTTTTCATTTAGTTTGGTCTACCGTCCCATCTTTAAAAAATTACTATCAATCACTTTAGTAACTTGATCTAACTGCAGATACAACATGGTTCAGGCTTTATTTGAGTCAACAATACTGACTTCTACCCAGGAACATTTCTACCAGTGGAGCTCAGAAGCTGGTTCACATTAGGATCATAAAGAGCTCTGAACCACACACAAGCCTTCTGCAGCCTACAGTGCCAATCCAGAGCCTGTCCTGTAGCCTGTGAGGACAAAGTGACAGTCACAAGTCTGGAAGTCCATTTCATTCCTCCACCTTATGAACCGTAAGATGCTGAACGTATTTCCTGATAGGCTTCTGCCTCGAAAGACGATGTTCTGTCTGCAACTTTTATACTTCTTGTGTCTTCTCCATCAAGAGCTCTGTCAGTTGCTTGTCAGACACATTGAGCTGCTGGCAGTTTCTCATAACCTGACTAAGATAAATTGCCAGGAGATGCTTACACTGGAATACAAGACACAAACCTGTTAGGAACAAGCAGGATCATGTTTGGCCAGTCTAATCAAGACCTCACTATCACATGCAAGGAGAGGGAAGCCTTGCCATGGTTTCATCCTGGCCTTCAGAGTGTGGTTACACCAACGGTTGACAGTCTTTGAGACACTCTACTGCTCATTGCTCCTCCCCAGTGAGCTCATGCGAACCTAATAGCTACTCAGCAGCTTCAAATATAGCTTCACCATAATGAACATGCAGGGCCACGACTTCACTTTAGCCATTGCTACCTTGTGGGGTGGGGAAGGAGCACAGGGAACATTCTCACACATGTACACATAAGGGGAGATGACCCTGTTAGGCCTATGTCAGCACTGGATTCCGAGAGACCACGGTTCAATCCTGTCATTTTTACTATTTTATACTATTTTTACATTTATACTATTGGCTAGTGGTGTGTGTGTCCATGGTGTGTGTATGTAGGAATGAATAGAGATAATCAAGTTGGCACCAAACTTTCAAGATTTTAAGTTGCTAATAGTATGAAAAAGGGAGGAATGAGGTGAACTTTATTGCTCTCTGCTTTGGTGAGACTAAGAACTAGCCACAGCTCTTAGGAGAGGAGGGCAGTGCATTTCTTTTCCTTTAGAACTAGGAATGTGCAGATATGTGCTGGCTTACTTGATATTCTGGACTCGGATGGACTTACAAGGACTTAGAGAGATAGACAGAGGTGTTCCTGCTCCATGTGAGGGGGAGGGGGAGGCCACGATGTCTTTATGAGCAGGGGGATGATGTGGGAGCGTCTTTTATTTAGTTCTCTCTTTACTGGGTCACCATCTACTTGGGCGGTACTCATTTTCAAGATTACCTTACTATCTCCCATAATCTTATCTACAACCTTTTAAATAAAAAAAGCAGGAAACTGGTAAAATACCAAAAATGACATTGTGCTTTAGGAGGCTAAATCCAAGAGGTGACTAAGACAAGGATCATAAACCACAATTTCTTCCAACATTGAGGGAAATACCCATTCTGTATAAACCCTTACCCCCCAAAATGTATGTGGCTCATAAAGTCTGGAATGAGGCTAGCTTTTTCTTTCCCAACTTGTGTGCAGTGGTAAGAGCCCACTCTTACCAGCAGGCTGTCATTCTTCCGTAACACTGAGAAGGAGAAGGCTGGGCATGAGCAATAATGACAGGAAGCCAGGCATGTATATGTTTTGCCAGAACTCCCAAGCACCTGGAAGAAAAGGACGAACAGTGTTAGACCTCAGAAGGTTTGCTCCTGTACAACTTCTTTACTGACAACTCAGTAAATGTGTCAGAGTGGCTTATAGGCATCACTGAAGACTGCGGTGGGGTTTGTACAAAAGAGGAAATGCAAATTTTCTTTCTGCAGTGTGCAAACTCTGAGCTCTTCTGCTTTCTAGGACCTTTGAGAAGAGAGTTTCAGTCTAATTTAGCCTTCCACACAGCCGCTTTGTTCTAGGTGATGCACAGGTCTCAGCCTGTAGGGGCTAAAAAGTGAAGGGGAAGTTTCTTGTGTACATATATCTTCAGGGCCCCTTAAGCTGTATTAGATGGCTTGCATGGACATTTTAAAAGCTACTGTTACACTCCCAGAGAGCATGAAATGGGTAAAGAGTGCATGGGGAGCAGAAACAGTGCAGCTCTCAAGATGAAGAAAGTAGAAAGGGGTGTGCGAGAAGCATCGGAGTGTGAAGAATGAATAAAGCAGAGTCTTGTGAAAGGGATGACTCAGCTGCTCAGGACCGAGATCTCAGGAAAGGAGGCAAGTTCAGATCTGCCTACTCATCCAGCAGGATGGAAGGACACAGACATGTGGGTGTCGGTGAGGGGCCCAGTGCAACAAACATCCCTGGTGACTGTCAAAAGGAACACAAAGGAAAACACGTTTGTCTATGTGATTAGACCAATTTTCTGGAGAAACCGCTCTACCACCAAGCCGCCAAACATGTTTTGTTGGCAGCTTGCTTTAGTTTGGATTCTGAATGTCCCCAAAGGCACGTGTGTTAGAATCTTGGTTGCTGTCTCCTGGACATGTAGGGAGTGGTAGAGCCTTCAGGAGGTAGGATAGAGTTAGAGGAAGTTAGGTCTCTGGGGGCATGCTTTGCAGGACACATTGGGATTCTAACCTTCTTCCTGTCCTGTCTTTGCTTCTAGCTGAGGAGTGAAGGGGCCTTCTAAGCCTCCCGTTCCTGCTGTAATATACTGTGCTGCCCAATACAACAGGGCCCAGTAACCATGGATGGAAACCTCTAAAACTGTTTGCCATTCTCATACTCTCCTCCATAGTGACTAATGCCGGACATTCACTACAGTGGTCCACACTAGCTAACACAGGGCTGCATTCTGAGAGTTAACTTCCAAATGAAATAGAAGATTATTATCATGAAAGGGAAGTACAAACATTTCAATTATTTTACAATGGACTGTCATATCTGTATTTGCCAGAAGGCTTTAAAATTAAATTTAGGCTTTAAGATGGCAATCTAAACAAAAGATTAGGCTTTGTTAAAATTATGTCAACATTCTCAGGAACTGCTGGGCCAACCTAAGAACAAATAACAGGTAAGGCCTTAACTAGAGGAAATAACAGGCTCAAGTGTTGTGCTTCTGTTTGTGTGTTTAGTGCTCAATATGATACAGCTATTCTGGTAATTTGTTGAGTGAGTCAGCAGAACTCTGTGGGAGATTTTAGATTACTAGGAATGTCTCTCTTCCGTACCATTAAAGACTACACCTAGTTTAACAGGTATTAAAAACACCACCTTACACATTCCTATCCCAAGGCTATCAATACAATTTCCCTAGTGAATATAAAAGACAGACTGGACATCAAAGCTGACTGCTTCCCACTTAATCCTAAAGAAAGCTCTCCAGCACTCAGCAGTGATACGGGTAATCATTGGCTCTCCAGATTACCAAGAAAGCACCTTCAAAGTGCTTTTTTTACTTGACTCCTCTGTCTTTTCTCTCTAGACTTAGACTTAAGCAGGCAAAGCCTCTGAAGGTCTATCACAATGTTTCTGGGATTATGTTGAGCCAAAGCCTGGTGATTTAGGATAAATTCTACAGAGGTTCCCTTGCCTCCCTTTCAAAGGCTGTCGGAGATGGGAAATAAACTGGCCAGATGCCTGGGGCAGTAGATACTCTAAAGACAGTAAAGTGCTTTAATTTGCTTCTTCCTTATCTAGCAGTTGACTATTAATGAACCCAACAATCAGGCGAAAATCTGAGCTAGAAATGTTTAGAACTGGAAATTGACTTTAGGGGTAATTTAATTCAGTGCCTTCAGTCTTCAGTGGAAGAAGGACCCTCTTTTACAGGAACTGCTCAGAGTTCTTCCACTCATCATAGTACAGGCTGGAATGTATCCCTCTTCAGTTCACCCTCCAGGCTCCTCACAGAGATTTTAAATAAGAAACAAACAGGAGAGACACTCAAGACCAGGACTGGATTCACAGGAGTCTCACTGGCAGGAAGCCTGTGGTGACTTCGGGGAGCTTGTAAGGAAAATGATGGGATCATCATCCTTTCGCAGGTACAACCTAATAACCACCACAGGTCTCTCAGGCTCCAGCAATGTCAGGAAGCTGCACTGATAGTTTCCTGTGTTGGCTGCCTCTTTCCGGAAAGAGGCTTCACGGATCCTGTCCTAGTGCAGACTGGTCGTTGTGAGCTGTGCTAGCTTTCAGAATGTGAGGGGCTGAGCATGTAGCAGGCCATGTTCTCTAATGTCTGGCAGGAATGCTGCTTCCCAACTTGCTGAGTGAGGGGGTTAGGAGTGAACCACATCTGCCTCCGGTGGAGGTGCAGTAATGTCATCAGCCTTGTTCTGTAAACCCTGAAGACTTAGGCCACTGCCAGCACTTGGCCTCTCCTGACTGAAGCAACTCCTTCCTAAATGAGCTTAAAGTGTCTGGAAAGCAGCTCAGGTGACAGTAACAAAAGGATGACCTTTAAAATAATTACACATTACACCCAAAAATGGTGAAGAAGATATTTGGGTTGACCAATGGAATACAAGTTGAGTCGGAAATGGTTGTTAGCTGGGTATCAAGACAGTGTCTAATTCGGCATTTTTCATCTTATATAACCAGGAACTAAGGCAGATTCTTACTGTATTGCTGTGCGGTGCACCATAAGACTGGTGTGAGGCTGCCTGAGATTTCCAGTCTCATTCAACTCAAGTCAGAGTCGAAGCTGACGCCTACATTTCTAGGGAGTATTTTTTTATGACACAGCAATGTAATATAATAAAGGACATGACAACCATTGAGAAAGTCATACTGACCACATTAATTAAAACTGTTTTAAACAAGATCTTTAACATTTTAGCCACATCTTATAAATAAGGGACAACTGGACATCTGTCTGTTCTGGTCAAGTGTTCTGATGATAATGGAGTTGAGACCCAAACAAAAAAAATGTTGACACTTAAAAAATATTCATATTATTTTAATTTTATATGTAGGAGTGTTTTGCTTGCCTATGAGTACATGTAACATGTGCATGCCAGGTGCCCACAGAGGCCAGACAAGGGCGCCAGATCCCAGGCAGTTCTAGCTGCCATGTATGTAATAGGACTGAACCTGGATACTCTACAGAAGGACTGCTGAGCCATCTCTCCAGTCCTGAAACCAGAGTTCTACAGTGAAAAAACAAGGGAAGACTGGAGGGGTCCTCTTAGTTTTAGATATTTTAAGCATATAAAATATAAAAAGATAACACACAAGAAACAAAATTAGTGACTCCAAATAACTTTTCATCTATAAATCCATGAGAAAATTCCCCCTTTGAGTAGAAAAGTACTATCCAAAACTTGTACATTTATCCAACACTCCGTTTTCCTTAGTGGAAACACATGGTGATCTGCCAAGTCAATTAAGGCGGGCTCCAATATGAAATGGCAAGTTGATTCATAATTAGGGACAAGTATTTGTCAAAGCAGGCTTTGTTCCAGTCATCCCCTAAGAATTAACCGGCACTTGCTTTTAATAAGAGTGACTGACTGGGTCTCAGCTCTGAGACATTCACTAAAAGCTCCAGTTAAACAATTTAAAATTCCCTACCCACTGATGGTGTCTGGTATCTCTCTTAGCCATTCTGAGCCAAGCATAAACTTGACTCAGCACTGTGAGCATTTCTGTGTCCCCATAAGATGCTCTTCCCTCAACAGCAGCTGCATTTGGCTGTCTCATGCAGCTAACCTGGGGAGCAGGTGGTTATGCTGGCCTACTGTTTATATAGTCTTTTTTTCTCGTGTCAGGTTGTAAGTCTGGCCATGTGGGGTAACCAGATGTGACCTATTTTGCCCTCTACATTTCAGTTTCTTTTCTTTCTTTCTTTCTTTTTTTTTTTTTCTTCAAGACAGGGTTTCTCTGTGTAGCCTTGGCTGTCCTGGACTCACTTTGTAGACCAGGCTGGCCTTGAACTCACAGTGATCCACCTACCTCTGCCTCCCAAGTGCTGGGATTAAAGGTGTGGGCCACCACATCTGGCCTCACATTTGTTTCTTGAAAAATACCTTGCTTTGCTTCTGGTGAGAATAATCAATAACATGGAAATAACTCAGAGTTATTACAAATCTACTGTAAGCTCCAAGAGGCAAACTAAGGTCCATGTACAGTTCCTGAACTCAGGAGTCTGATTCATGAACACTTCTTGACAATAATTTTTAAAGATCAATGCTGAGAAGATTATCCTGTATACAGGAAATGACCTCAAGAATATTTTGACTTTTTTCTATAAACAAGAAGTTATGAATAGGATGAAAATGTCAATAAATGTATGGGGGATATATGCCCTTATCAGCAACAAGATAGTAAAGGCTGGTATATTCTATTAGACTTGAGAAAAGAACCTCTTCACACCATTGTTAGCTCTAAATAGTGCTACTGAGGAGAACCAAAAAGTCAAATTTATCTTTAATTTCTAAAATGCCTGGAGATATTATATTAAGTGCAACAAGCCTGGCACAGAACAATCAAATGCTACATGTCCTCGTATGTAAAATCTAAAATAGTCCAACTCACAGAAGAAAAAGTAGAATGGTAGTTACCCAGCATTTTAGGGAGATAGTCAGAGGAGGTAGAAGTTGAGGAGATTTACTGACTACAGTAACTATCAATGTATTGCAGCCCTGAAAATTTCAAAGAGAGTGGGCTTTTAAGTGTCCTCGTCACAAAAAAGGAGCATATAAGATAGTTTGAGAAAGTTGGATATGTCAATAGCATGAAGTTGTCTCATAAGATATCATATATCAAGACATCATATTGTATGTCATAAATGTATAGTTTTTGTCAATTTAAAATAGATACAAGACTGGGTAGTGGTGGTGCACACCTTTAATTCCAGCACTTGGGAGGCAGAGGCAGGTGGATCTCTGTGAGTTCAGGCCAGCCTGGTCTACAGAGTGAGTTGTACGACAGCTAAAGCTACACAGAGAAACCCTGTCTCAAAAAACCAAAATTACACACACACACACACACACACACACACACACACACACACACACACACA